TAGGGCTTGTAGGGCTTAGGGTTTCAGGGTCTAGGGGTTAGGGTTTAGGGCTTAGGGCTTATAGGGTTTAGGGCTTAGGGTTTAGGGCTTAGGGCTTTGGGTTTAGGGCTTAGGGTTTAGGGTTTTATGGTTTAGGGTTTAGGGCTTTGCGTTTATTAGGGTCCAGGGCTCAGGGCTTAGGTTTTAGGGTTTAGGGCTTTAGGGCTTTACGTCCTCTGGGGCATAGGGTGTAGGGTTTCTACGGGGGCGTAGGGTTTGGGGTTTCAGCAGGCTTTGCAAGGGTTCTGCAAGTCTTCGAGGGTGTCGGCGAGTCCAAAGTGGAGGGTTTAAGGGTTTGATAAATCTTCCGTACAAGGGTTTTTTGGGGGGTTGCTTCATAGGGATTAGGGTTTAGGGTTTAGGTATAACGGTTGTTTAAAGACCTGTCTTTCCGTCATCATCTAGGGCATGGAAGATATGTTCACGTGGCTGCAAGAAACCATAATGTCGATGCACGTCGAGATGCAAGCGGATTGCATCTTCATCGGCTTAACTAGCAGCAGCTAGCATACCCTGCTCCAAATAGCCCAAAGTAGGTACTATTTGCAGACTTTAGACCCCAAAGTAGGTACTATTTGGGGCTTTCCGAAAGTAGGGGACCCTAATATAGTACCCTAAATAATTTAATAGGATCCTTCTTATACGGACTCCAAAATAAGGTACCCCTTACATTCGGAAACCCCCATTTGTATATTTGGAGCCCTAGGGATAGACTTCTCGGCGAACCCATGCAGAGCCCTGTCGGCACGTGTTCCTTGGAGTGGCCCTTCCCACACTCTGAAGCCCAATGGAACCCTAAACCCTAAACCCTAAATACTAAGCCCTGAACCCTAAATCCTAAGCCCTAAACCCTAAACCCTAAATCCTGAATCCTAAATCCGAAACCCTAAATCCTAAATCCTAAATCCTGAACCCTAATCCCTAAATCCTAAACCCTAAACCCTGAAACCTGCTTAATCCGAAATCCTAAAACCTAAGCCGGCGCAGAGTTCGAAGCTTCAGGCTTCTGGGTTTTGCCCCTCGGGGCTAAGTCCAAGCAGAAGGTATCCAAACGTCCAACAAAAATCATAGATCCTAAAAGCCCTGACCCTTAGCATCAAAACAGCCCAGAAGCCTTGCATAATAGGGTCTTTGGGCCCAAAAGCCTTAAGACATGAGTCCTTTGAGGCTAAGGGTAGAAGAGCTTAAAGGCATCAGACTAATCCGTTGTCGAATCGTAAAGGAACCCTACAAGGAACCCTAAAACCTCTAAATTCAATCCGACCAAGACTTGACGGAATCATGTGGAGGGCTACTCCAAATCCGGGCTCCGTCTGCCACCCATGCCGTAGGGACCCCGACAATGCTAGCGTGTAGAAGGTTCGGGTTCAGTCTTTGTGGACAGGTTCAACCCAAAACATGGAACTACAATGGTGGTCCGAGCCCTGGAGCCCGATAAAGCCCCGTACAGGTCCATACATTTCTCTTGAAGTACATTCTGTTGATGAGATGAATCCTGCATTACCTAGAGGACCCTGGACTATGGGAATTATGGTATGTTCCTTATTGTAGGTAATGCAGGCTTTATATTATCAACCGTACCGTGGCCCTAGAGCAGCTATGTTCAAGTCCAAAGTTATCTAAATTGTAGGCACATGGACCCTAAGCCCAAACTTCTAAACCCTACGGATGCCAGGCTTTTGTCATAACCCCAAGCGGTGTTCGAAGACAGACAGACCTCTGTGAAGCGCTCCACAGCCAGCTTGCAAGTCTTGGACGCCAAAGCCTTGACCAGACATAAGAAACAATTGTTAAGCCAGTTGGAAGATCTATACGGCTGTGTGTTTACAGCGAGTGTGTGTGTATATATATATATATACACCATACAGCATAATCTAACAGAGTAAAAATAGAACACAATATAATATAATAATATATATATATAATAATATAGTAGTAGTAGTAGTAGTAGTAGTAGTAGTAGTAGTAGTAGAAGTAGTAGTAGTAGGGGTAGAAGTAGTAGTAGAGGTAGTAGTAGTAGTAGTAGTAGTAGTAGTAGTAGTAGTCGCAGGGTTGCGGTGTTTAGCTTAAGCTTTTGAGTTTGGGGCTTAGGGTTTAATTAAGGTCCAATTTTATAAGGCTTCGAGTCGGC